GGCTCGTAGCTGGGACATGCATGGTCGTGTGACTGGGTCGTGTGACAGGCAACTCTCCACAAGCTAGCTTGGGAGATGGAGCCGTGGCTACATTGGTGGGCAGCTGGTTGGTGGCCAAGAGGGCACCGGTCAATCGTTGCTGGATGGCAGTGGCATCTTGCTTGGAACGAGTAGCCCTGTGGCGCTGCTGCTTCTTTGGGCTGTGGAGCTGTTGGGTACCAATAGCGCTGTCACCAGTCGGCTTGTGGACGCCATCAACACTGCCCATGGCTGACAGTGGAGTGGCATTGGTCTCCCCATGAACTGATGGTGTCAAAGCAGGTGTAGGTGCTGTGACTGGTGGCCTAGCAGCTACCACGACCAAGGCGTCCAGTTGAGCTGTCAGGTGGTCCTTCAGGGCGATGAACTGAGCTTCCATTTTTCGCTTGAAGGTTTCGTGGTCAGCTCTCATGAGGTCGAGTTGCTGGGCAACGGTGACCTGTTGCTGTTGAAAGCGGATCAGCATGTCTTCCATGGCTGGGTTATAGATGAGGTCTGGGTGACAACTGGAGCTGTTGGGAGACAGCTCTGAAATCTCCCCATCACCCAGCTGGTGGTTGGTCCTACCGTAGGCCATGGGTGCCGGCCTCTTCTCAAGGATGTCGAAGGGTGATGTGTATGCGTCTGGTGGGGACACTGTTGACACAGGTGGCTGTGTGTCCCGATACTGGTGGCGGTAGGCTAGGTTGCTGTTGCCAGCTCCATCGTGGTGTGTGGGAGGACGGGCACAGGTGTAGCTACCTTGGACTTGAGGCCCAGAGTAGACGCGGTGCCACCAACGTTCGGAGTAGCCAGGGGCATAAGGGTCACTCACATCGCTGTAGAAACCGTAGAAAGACATGGTGCCTCTTGCTGCTGACGAAGAAGAGGTGTACCTGTTGTGCTTGGGAAGCACTGGAATCCAGCTGTTGTAGCAGGAGAGTAAAGCTGACTCAACTGTAATCTGGAATTCACAAAGATGACCTCCAGGGACCTTGCTATGGGGCTGGAAAATTCAATCTAGGTGTAGTTGAATAAGGTAGCCAGTGTAGAGGGTCTGGAACCTGCTTCCTGTGTTGCTCTGGTGCCTCTTGCTGCTGACGAAGAAGAGGTGTACCTGTTGTGCTTGGGAAGCACTGGAATCCAGCTGTTGTAGCAGGAGAGTAAAGCTGACTCAACTGTAATCTGGAATCCACAAAGATGATCTCCAGGGGCCTTGGTAGTGGGCTACTAAATTCAAGTAGTATGTACTTGAATAAGGTGGCCTGGTTAGAAGCACTGGGGCCTGCTTCCTGTGTCGCTGTAGTGCTGGAAACTCGCTTGGATTGGTGAGATTTTGCCACAATGGAAGCTAGCTTGCTGGGACCAATGAATCTCCCCACAAAAGCTCCCACAATACAAATGGAGATACCCACTGACTAAACAGTGGATGGCGGATCCAGTGGTGCTATCGATACTCTCTCGAAACAGTCGCTTCGTTGTCTCGTGACTCTCCGAGTTGGGTCTTCGGTAGGTTGGTTGCTCCGTACTGAAGGAAAATCGCGATTTTCAATGACTCGACGGTGTAAACATCTTAAAATGTGAGGTCGCTTCCAGCTTACGGAGGCTGAGCCTGCTTTCGGTACGGGGAACTTTGTTGTATAAGCGCGAAACCGGTACAGGATCCTCTCGGATCGGTACGGAAGCTTTTCGGTCGTGCAAAACTGACTCAGTGCACTCGCAATAAGTACCGTATCACTCGAATACTGCACGAGCGATTTGATTGGCTGAGAGACTTCTGTGGGATCTTCTTTACCGTTCCGAAAAAGGCTGAATCCAATACAGGACGGAAACTCGTGACACTCGTAAACTGCACGGACGTTTTGTGGAATCAATGAAGATATATGCCAATACGCCGACAATAAATCACGTAATTCGCTGAAAGCGATATGCCCTTATCGAAAGAGATATGCCAAGTTCCTTCGGGCGTAAAAGGCGTGCTCGATGGCCAAGATAGGTGCGAAAACGATAAGTCCCGAGTTCACTCGGAGACTCCAAGTGTTGGTAACTAGTGCTTCTTCTTTCGAGTGAATTGGCTGATTTTGCGAACTTCGTGTGCTACCGGTAGCGGCTACTAGACCAAGCTAACGTCGTCGTGTCAATGAGGTTTTTAAATAGAATTCTATTTTAAGGCTACTCTGAGTACGACTATCCACCGTGCCGCTACCCTAAACCGATAACCCCCACAAACATTGGGGCGGAGAGAGTTGGCCCCCTCAGCCGGGAAAGTTTAAAACCCAACCGAGGCAAGATATTAAGGGGAAGGTCACCAACCGGACCCGCCCGTGCTGCTGCTGTCATCAGCACTGCTACTAGCTGCACTATTGCTGATAGTGTCAACACTGCTGTCATCTAAATCAAGGTCAGACCCGAAAGCCTGATCCAAAGTTGCTGCTGCCTCATGGAAGGCTGCGGCCAGTTGTTGCTGCTCTCTACTTGCTTTGTCCACCACTGGCATCCAATTTGAAAGCCAGGCTTTGATATCGGATGGTGTCGTCGTGTCAATGAGGTTGTTGTGTCAAGATGGTGGGAATCTAGGTCCTTTCAAATGGCGATGATGATGGTGTTGGTCTTGTAGCTGGTAGGGGACTAACTCAAAGGCTCCTGATGCTCTGGTGAAGACTAGAGCGGTCAGAATTGACCAGAAGGTTGTTGACTTAGGACTTCAAAATGGGCCTTGAGATCACCTTGAAATCGACTGTAACTGTAGTGTAGCACTGATTGTTGTAATGTGGAGAACTCCTTGTCGACCTGGAGACTCGCCTTCCCTTAAAACTGCCTGAAATCTATGCATTCTGTTAATCCAATAAGTTTCTTGAAGGATCAGTTCCAATACTCCAGTAGTGGACTGGGTCTCGCTGAAACCATTCCTCAGGTACAGCGGTAGTCAGGCAGTTCAGGGAGCCTTGTCGTGCCTCAGGAGTGTTCCAACACCTCCAGTAGGCACCAAACCAAGGACTTGGTCCTGTCAGTCAGACAGGAGGGCCAGCAGAGCTCTCTGCTGGGCCCTTTGGGCCAGCTCACCTCAGGAGCTGGTGGCCTTCGTTATTCAATCGTGCAGTGGCAGTCTGGGAACAGTACTATCTGCTACCTCCTACTGCTTCTGCCCGGCCTCAACAGGATTGGTATCAACTGCTGCGGTATCAAAGGGGCTACAAGCTAATCAGGATCGGTCTCAATCTTTCGTACTATTTTCTTAACTATGGTAGAAAGGACGATCCTTTCTTGCTGCTTTCGCTGGAGATAAGCCAGCTGTGGGTGCTGGAGCTGTAGGCCAGCATAGCTGTTGGAGCTATCTCTGACGGGATCCAGAGATCTCGCTCCTAAAAGTTATCGGAGAGCCTTCGTCTGTGCGTTGGTAGCTCCTACCGAGAGAGGGTTGTGGTCTGCCAAAATCCAAGCTAGCAGAGAGCATTGTGTCCGTTGACTTGGTGTTTTGGTAGCTCCTACGGACGAAAAATGTGGTCTGCCGGAATCCGAGCTAGCAGAGACCCTTCAGCTGTGCATTGGAAGCTCCTACCGAGAGAGGGTTGTGGTCTGCGAAATCCAAGCTAGCAGAGAGCCTTGTGTCCATTGACTTGGTGTTTTGGTAGCTCCTACGGACGAAGACTTCGCAAGTGCCAAAAAGGAGGCTAGAATGGATCAGTTGACTGGAATATTGAATCCCACTGGAAAATTTTGCAAGTCGGCCAAAAAGGAGGCTAGCACGGATCCGTTGACTCGTGCTCGCACTCGAAAGTTTCGCAAGTGCCAAAAAGGAGGCTAGCATGGATCAGTTGACTGGAATATTGAATCCTACTCGAAATTTTCGCAAGTCAGCCAAAAAGGAGGCTAGCACGGATCCGTTGACTCGTGCTCCCACTCGAAAGTTTCGCAAGTCTGCCAAGATGGAGGCTAGCATCGATCAGTTGACTGGAATATTGAATCCGACTCGAAATTTTCGCAAGTCAGCCAAAAAGGAGGCTTCGCAAGTGCTACCCCATTATGCGCTTCTTAGATGTCTGTGAAAGAGGTGTCGTCCTCGGTAACTGCTGTTTTGCTGTCTCGATGGATGCTTATGTGCAGGCCCTCTAAGCATGATGCCACATTGAGGACTGAAGAAGGGGCCGTGTCTTCTGTAAGTGTCGAGTCGTCATCGGTTCCGGATCTGGACTTGTTCCATTGGCAGTGTGTTCCTACGTCTTGTAGCTTCTCTGTGTTCTCGATTAGTTTGGGGGTGATCCATCTTCGGGCACGCACCAAGCAAAAGCGACAGAGTGGATGTCCTTGTTGGAGGGGAATCTATGTCCTTCCTGCGAACCCACGGTCCTGCACACTAACCAAAGCGACAGAGTCGAGGTCCTTATTGGAGGGGAATCTATGTCCCTTCCCGCGAACCCACAGTCCTGCACACCCGCTGCCTGGAGTCAATTTGACAGGAACGAAGCAACTGAAACAAGCAAAAGCGCAGAGTCGAGGTCCTTGTTGGAGGGGAATCAACGTCCCTTCCCGCAAACCCACAGTCCTGCACACTAACCGAAGCGACAGAGTCGAGGTCCTTGTTGGAGGGGAATCAACGTCCCTTCCCGCAAACCCACAGTCCTGCACACTAACCGAAGCGACAGAGTCGAGGTCCTTGTTGGAGGGGAATCTATGTCCCTTCCCGCGAACCCACAGTCCTGCACCCCGCTGCCTGGAGTATGTTGTTGATTATTTCCGTCCACCTTGGATGGCTGACGTTGGCCGATATCGATGTTGGGTTTGTCTAGGGTATGTCTAGACTCGACAAAATTATGATGGTTGTGTCAGGAGACCTATCAATGAGTGTAATAACATGCTAATAAGATAAGTGAGAGCTACTGGAATGTACTGGAGGAATATGGTCTGTACTGTGTCCGTAATTCAGCTGACACTCTCCCCTGATCCAAGCTCGGTATGAACTCAGGTTGGATTACAAAGAAAGGCTAGAAGAGAGGACACAGGAGTATGTTGTAGAGTAGTCGGATAAGGTTGTAGGTATGGGAATACATCAAAAGGAGAGGTTGTAGGGCAATTGCAGCCGGTGGTAAAAGAAAATGTGATGGTGGTGTGCCAAGGGATGTAAGAAGCAAAGCAACAGGTAGATGGGAATCACCACCATGTAAGGTAGTAATTGGGTCGTCATCAGATAGAGTAGAGAGGGTGGGTTTGATGAAACTAGGGAGGAGGGGATTGACAATACTGATGGTAGCTGGCATGGAAGGTCCAGGGATCCAATCAGGGGTAGCCTCGAGAGTAAAGGGAATCCAGGCAACAGAAGGGAATACGGGAGCTGGAGCAGAGACGATCGAAGGCAGAGCAGAGGCAACTGTAGGTTCTGTAGATACTGTAGTAGGATCAACTGTAAAAGCATCGGCAGGAGCTAGTAGATTGTTGATGGAATGGCGAGCATTGAGCGCGCGTCGTGGCGTGAACCTGTCACTAAGGAGAATCTCGACACCAGCATGCATATTGTTACGTGCATGGTACAGTGCAGAGGCGAGAGAAGCTTCAGAGAGGGGTACGATGATGGAGTATTTGGCGATGGAGATATCAACGTCGCGGTCAAAATCAAGAGGAGCAACGTACTCTCCCCTAATCAAGGAACGGATGAAAGACATGAGACGGCGGTCGGAGATCACGCGTCCATGGCGATCAAAGAAGTATTGGCAGTCGTCGTAGGAGAGGTAAATTGAAGTACGGGAAGGGGCGCCACGAATCCGAATGGAGATATCAAGGTCGGATATGGGAGTGTAGAGATCAATATTGTAGCAGATTGTGTTGAGTGCAGTGTCGAAGTAGGTCTCGTGGTTGCATTCAGCAAGGTAGGCGGCGTGGGTGGTGGCAGGCATGTTAGAAGTGGAGGTGTTGTGCTTTGAGTACCGGATGATGTCACAGATGAGTCACGAATTGAGTCACGTAGAGTCAAAGCAGCAACAACAAGTGGAAATCGTCGACAATGGCGCTTCAAAGGTCGACCAAGAGGTACAAAAGAAACAAGGAGTCTTGTCCTCGTGAGGGAGATGGTGGAGGCGTGTCGGCGTAGTGTTGGTGTTAGAGCTCGCTGGAGATAACAACAAAAAATTGGGCGAAGAATCGCGTCGGAAAGAAGTAGTCAAGGAGGCAAGGAGGAATGTCGTTGGGAGTAAAGCTAGAACCGGTCCAGTTGTACCCGGCTTGCCAATAGCAAGAGACTATAAGCACTTCGGTAGAGATACAGGCACTAGCGAAAGCGTAGTGTGGGCATCATAACCTGTCAGGAGACCTATCAATGAGTGTAATAACATGCTAATAAGATAAGTGAGAGCTACTGGAATGTACTGGAGGGATATGGTCTGTACTGTGTCCGTAATTCAGCTGACAGGTTGTGGCCTTGATTTAATGAGGATAATGCGATCGAGGGCATGGCATCTAACTTCCTAGTTACACAACAGAAAAGGATCTGTGTAACTGTAAAGTCGTCTGTGTAACTGTAAAGTCATCTGTAATTAGACAAAGCGACAGGATCTGTAATTAGACAATTAGATAAACCAGGTTCTTGGTGACCGGCAGCTTAAGTATCTTAAGACACGGGGAGAACACCTGGTGTAATTACCTTATCTTGCGGAAACATCTGGTGTATCTACCCATGCAGCTATTAGATCACCGCAGATATGGCAGTGCTCACTTTTTGCAACATGGCTAGGTGAGGAACCCTTTACGTGCACGTATGTTTGATTGATCCAGACTCTGCTCCATTTACCATTTGTTTTCTGTCACAGAACAAAACAGACCGCTCGCAAAAGTACGGGGGGCAAAGCTCCAAGGAAGCAGCTGAGCACAAAAGCGGCGAGGCAAAGTGGACGAACTGTCGCTGGTGTCAAGAAGCCCCACAGGTACCGCCCCGGTACTGTGGCCTTGAGAGAGATTTGTAAGTTTCAGAAAAGCACCGACCTCCTCATCAAGAAGCTGCCGTTCCAGCATCTGGTGCAGGAGATATCCCAGGATTACAAGTCAGATCTTCGTTTCCAGTCCACTGCGGTCATGGCCTTGCAGGAGGCCTCTGAAGCCTACCTAGTTGGCCTGTTCGAAGACACGAACATATGTGCTAATCACACGAAGCATGTGACCATCATGCCCAAAGATATTCAACTCGCAAGAAGGATCCGCGGGGAAAGGAACTGAACTGATCTGACGGCCGGAATAGATTAGGGTCAGTAGTTAGAACCATCTTTGGAATCAGACTGGGACTGGATTTTAGTCGTGTTGTAGATAGCAAAAAGCAAATGGCTCCAGATTGAGTCGCCATGCTCGTCCCTCCGATGTTGTGCACTTCTGCTTCCAATGACAACTATACCATTTGGCATTCCGAACAATGGAAGGTAGAGACAATGGAATGGAGCTAGAGGACCTGTTACACAAAAACCTGATGATATGGCAGTCCCTGCTGCGAATAACAGGAACAGATGGGACATCAGGCGACCTTCTTTCCCTCAACGAGGAACACAACGAGACTTACCACTGGTATAGATTTGAGCAGATCGAAACTGACAAGAAGATTTAGCTTGTTCGAGCCATCAACAGATTTCTTATCGAGGCGTCCAGTATCTCTCTTTCGGGTGGACTGCCCATTGGAGAAGCCTGCTGGATGGCATTTTACTCTTGCACAGAAGGATACCCCGTCCACATCGGAGGCAATCCTGGAGTTCATGAGGATGCTTTGCATCTTCTAATGTGCCCCCGATATTCAAGCTGTACCAGAGAACCATACAAGACCCTTCTTGCCCACCAGTTCATGACAAGACACACAGTGCACATCACCAGAATGAAAGAGGAGGAATCAGTTGTGGCAGATGCCAGAGTAAACGCACACTGCATGGTCGTTCTTGGCGAGATGGAGATGCTCCCTGAATGTTCCCAGTTCTATTTACAGGCCTGGGCTCAGACATTTGTGATCCGACACTTGTGATTCGAATGAAAGTGATTGAATGGATTCGAATGAAGTGATTGCGTGGTATGAGAGGCTGAAGCAGCAATGAATAAAGTACAATGCACATTTCAATGGATCTTTACCTAGACCTAGATTATTCATAAAAACAACATCCTTTTATTGGAGGTATCTCTTGTGTCGGGTAATCCCAGGGCCAGGAAAGGCGTACTGCTGTCTCCGGTTGCAACTAGATAGTGAGAGAGTGTACCAGATTTTGTGTAGATGTACCTAGCCTTGTAGACACACTCGCCGATGCAGGAAGTCCTCAACCTAGAAAACAATTTCTTGTGCACGGCCTGCGAACCCAGCGACAGAAGGGAAATCAAGGAAATGTAGCAGCAGGCATCGTCCGTTGTACCAAAGTACCAAAAGCTATTTTGCTCCTCCTCCTTAACAATCACACCTCCCTTTGCCTTTGCCAGTTCATCTCGCAGCTTGCAAATAGATACCTCCCCGAGGCCAAGTTTAGACATACCGTGAAGCTTCAGCCTGTATACCTTGACGCCTCTGACTGATGCCTGCGCAATGTCACAGTTTTCCACCCTGCGGGGTGTGGAAACTCGGACGGGGGGTTCCCCAGGCGTGCTGCTGCTCAACACCGAGCGCAGACAAGCTGCGCTCGCCCAGAGCAGCTAGACACGACTAGTAGAGGATTAGGTGAGTGGAGAGACTCGGCCATTTACTGAGCCGACCGTCTCCAGTCCCCGGGGTACCATTCGGGACTGGGGAGTCCCGGATGGATCCCACACGGCAAAAGGGAGTCCCGGGAATGTGATGTTCCACGGGACAGCCTTGAGTCGTGCAACCAGGGAGGGAGAGGTGGGTTAATCTAATCTAGGTTCTTGCCTTCAGCGTCGGCTGAATGAAGAATTGTGAGCTGAGAGAGAGAGACAACCTTCTTGCGATCGGCTGGTCTTGGCTAGGTCGCTGGCTTTAGTGATTCATGGTTGCCGCTGTCGATCTTGCCAAATGTGGTCTTGGACGGGCGGCGTTGCCTTAAGGGTAATCTTGTTCGAGAGGCATTGAGGCAATAACTTCTTAAAAGGATCAGGGTAGATCCACAAGAGATGAGGATGGCCACAGGTCCTCCTCTGCTTACAGAGTTTCCAGCTCCTGGAGCTGGTACCGATGTTATTCTATCACGATGCTGGGCAGCCTAGCGAATGCTATCAGCTTACCTCTCAATGCCACTGCTCAGCCTCAACAAGATAGGTATCTACTGCAAAGGAACAAGGGAGCTACAGGTCTATGGAGATGGTATTCAATTCATACATTCAATTCTTAGGACTATGAGCAAAAAGCATGCATCCAAATAATTGGGTGTTATGCAGGATTTGAGCACTCTGAGCCACACTGAGGCTCCTGGATCCTCCTGAGGTCACCTGATTGAGTAGATGCTCGCCTCATGGCCATCTGGGGTGATACAGTGGTCAAAACCTTCATATGGGGCCATATGGGGCTTCCCTGGTTCCATATGTATGGCCTGTGTCTCACCAGTACCAACCAAGATTCTCTATATCTTTGCTTGTTCCACATACCATGTGGGTACCAGTAACATAAGGCAGACAGTTTGTTCTCACGCTCACCACGTTGATCCCATGGATCCAACCCACATTTTATCGCTCCCCTCCATCGGATTCATCCGGGGTGAGGGTGTCCAGGGTATTCCCTTTCCAGAACATCATTGCTCGAAGCATTGGCCAAATCTGAGAATAACTCCAGTGCTTCGTGAGGATGTCAGCCGGGTTGATTTCTCCTGGCATGTGATGGAAGGAGATGATTCCTGCTGCAGTGCTTTCCCTAACAAAATGGTAGGCCAGTGCATGATGCCTTTTCTTGAGCGGAGAGTGGGGCTGTGTCGAGCTTGTGCAAACGGACCCGTTGTCTCCGAACATGTATGTGGGGCCTTGCACTGGAACACCAAGGTATCTCAATGTGATACGGGCAGCGACAGCTTGTGGGCAGCTATCTTGGCAGCAACAAACTCGGAACCATAAGTCGCCACTTCGACGGTGGCCTGCTTCTTACAGTACCATTCAAAGGGAGTCTGATTCACGTAGTGTAGGACTCCAGTGACGGCTCTCCCCGTCACCCAATCGTGGTATAAGTTGGCATCCACGTAGGTAGTGAAGACCACGGGCTTGCCCTTGGGAGCAGGTGCGTCACCAGGGAGTTCCTCTTCGGCTCCTTGGTACACTGTCTTTGTCCAGTCATACTTCCTGACTTCCAACTGGGAGTAATCCAGGATATCGGTTCGTACACGGATGCCTCCATGCTTCATCTTGACCAGGTAACCGGTAATCCTCTTCAACCGATCCAGGTGGCCAACACGGGGAGCTACTCGGAACGAGGAAAGCGTCATGACTGCAACTCCAACATCAAACCTTCCAAGGGAAATAGCCCACTGGATTCCTCCAATTAGGGACTGGTACTTGGTGATCCCATCATCGTCCAACAGTGGGGAAGTATCAAGCTCCGGGTGATCATTCTTCTCAACAGGACTGGTCACCTTGGTGGACGGTTTCTCCCCAAAGAGGGTAAGGTATTGTGCTTCCAAGCGGTCAATGTACTTGAATGGTGACATTGTGAGTGTCCCATCCTCATCGCGTTTGAAGTTGCATCCTA